GAAGTTGCAGTGAACCACTGCATTCCAGCATGGGTGACATAATGAGACCCCACCTCAAAATAAATAAATAAATAAATCTTAGAAATTACTATGTATTTTTTTTTATCTTTGACTGATATATCTCCCTCAGTATTCATGCGGAGAAACAGGGCCAAATCCATGTTTACAAAGTTAAAGGGCAAAATATTCTAAGGGAAAATGTGAATTTAAAATTTCAAAGTTTCGAAAACTACTACAGCTTGCATGTGCTCTCTCTCTCTCTCTCTCTCAATTCCAGACCATTATTCATGCCGTTTTCTCTGCCTTAAATTTTCTTACTTCTCCCTTGACCTGGAGACTCACCCTTTAGATCTCATTGCTTGCTCTGGAAAGCCTTTCCAGAACCCCAAGTCTGAGTCAGATGCCCTCTATGTGCTCTGTAGTGCCTTTTGCTCACCACTGTAAACCACTTGACACTCCATAATGCAATTGCCTTCTTACTTGTTTGTCTCCCAGTTAAGCTGTAAGTGCCTGCAGAAGAACTTGAATTACTTAAGGTTGTGTCTCCAGCACTTGACCCAGTGCCTGGTTGCTGCTCATTAGTCATTTGTTGAATTATTACATGGGTGTAGAACCAACTGGATCTATCAATTCTAGGCAGGAAGATCATTCATGGTAGCTGATTTCGGCGGGACTTAGAAGCAACCAGAAGGATTTGTTCACTGCTAACCTCACCATGTAGTGATGAGAGTTTCTGACTTCTGGAGCTTTGCTGAACACATCTCTAACACATCACATCACATTATAATTGTAAAGAAAGGAAACTTGGCCCTGGGTTAAACCTCATCACTAGAAGGCCCTGGACATGCCTCTTAACTAAATTTGATTTGCAAACCCAAATGCAGAAAGGAGCCAGAAAGAGAGTATCACTTAATGTAATGGGTTGTATTGTTGTTCCCAATAATTACTGCCCTTCCTGTAAGTGTTGTCGTCACCATTGCCATATGACTTGCAGAACTCCTCTTTGGAAGAATTATACTTCCTCATCCCATTGAAGTCATCTTGGCCAGTGATTTGCTTTGGCCAACAGAATGGGAGCAAAAATGACAGGCTGAATGTCTGAGCAGAATCATTAAAAGCCATTTCCTCATTTGGCCATTTTTCTTTTTCCTCTGCAACAAAAACAGCATATTCCAAATAGGGGTGTCTCCTTCAGTCTGGATCATGGAATCTGTAGCCATCACAGTAAAAATATAATGTGAACAGGAAATGAACCAGTGCTGCTGCAGGACAGAGATTTTGAGGTGTTATCACAGTAGAAGCTAGTCTAAGTGACAGAAGTAAGCATGGGGTGAAGGCCTTGGCAAACTCAAGAAAGTCTACCTGTCCCCAGGCAGCCACTCCTGTGTCACAGTGGATTGTCCCCATGTGGGCATGCAGGCTTGCTCTTGCCAGATCTTCTGTTAGGAGAAGCCAAAGTTTTAATTAAATCCTCTCCTGATTTTTAATTAAAATACACTTTCTTTTAAATGTTGACAGCTAAATCCATATGTTTACAAAACACTTAGGACCAAATCAAATCAAGTAATACCTTCATAATTTCTTTTCCACTCCTTAGTTTCCTCGTGTATAAAATAAGAATGATAATTATTTTTTCTGCCTTTCTAACCGGGTTATTTTGAATGTCAGATTTGTCTTGCTTTGTGTTTTTATTTATTTTTTAAATTTTGAAATGATAAGCTAACAAAGAAGGTCAAGGAAATTAGTTGGATTACTCTAGCAAAGTAGACTGGACAAATCTAAGGTAAGGAGGTACCAAGGAGGCCATAGTACAAATCACTGAGTCTCAACTTTCCTGTCCCTCCCCTGTTCTTCATACAAAACATAGAAACCAGACTCCTCCATCAACAGATAAGACTAGCATGCAACTATCTTCAGGAATAATCTGAGCTTGAAATAGTTGGGAGGTAAGTAATTGGCAAGAACAAATGGTTCTCTGTCGCAAAATAGGTAAGGTGTGTGTTGATCTTTCCAGATTGACTTTCCTGTTCACAACGTTGAACTTCATCCTTCTCTTCGACTATGTCATAGCAGTGACTCAACCAGTGACAAAAAGAAAAAACAAAAAATAGCCCAGGGACATAAAATACCAAGAAATTGGGATGAGATTTCCATGTTGGATCAAATGTCTCAAAAGTATTTGTTTTATTTTAGGCACAGATTCAAAATTCTCAAAATATGTGGATTTGTCTAACACGTTTGCACGATGTATCTCATAGGTAGGATTTTAGGATGATCCTGAACATGTGTTCAGGAAGAATACAAAGAAAAAAGAAGAAGAAAAAGAATATAAACAGTGGAGAAAAGCCTGAAAGAGAAAAGTGTAATCTGATGTGTATTTTTTTCTGTTGCATTTTCAGGGCTTCCTTTTTTCCTTCCATTATGCAGATATGCCACTAGAGGTCATCGTATAGTTCTACTTCCATACAGACTGTGTGTCTGTCCTCCAATTCCCCCACTGAGAACCCTCCAGATTTTGCTTTGCTTTAGTCAGGCCAGGTAGTGTCAACATGTCCACCTGAAGGAAGCTACAAACCTCTACTTAACCCAAGGTTAGCTCCTGCTCCCCAGGTTACTAAGGGTGGATTAGTTTTCCAGGTGACCTGGAGCAAAACGTCCGTTCCTTTCTTGTGGTCTGTGCTCATGCAGGTGGCTTCCTAAGTCTTCTGCTCAGCGGCCCTGATGACAGGAGTTTACTGACTGAGGGTACAGCCTCTGTAGAATATTCTGCCAGATTCTGGAAACTACAAAGGAGACAGGACCCACAAATACAAAGAAACGGATCATTCGGAACAACCTGAGACAAGTGTCAACGAGCAGGCATGTATGTGTCAGGGCTACAGGGGTTTCAAGAATAATGAACGAAGTGATTCTGTGGGAAAGGAAAGTGGGAGGTCACATGAGAGCAAGTGTCCTCAGAGTCTGATCAGTCCAGGCTGAATGAAAGCTGGATTTTAGGCTGATTTTTCTTTTCCTTTTCTCCTTTCTGCCTTATTGAGGGACCTCCTTTTGTGGGATAACCTGAAGCTAAGATATAACATAGGTTACCCCCAGTAATTCATTATATATTATTATATGTTGAACAGCCTTGATACTCTAAGACTGCCAGGGAGAAGTTGCCTTCCTCTACACTGCCATATTTGTTTGTCTATTATTGATTGGACCAATATTTATTGCCAACTGTGCCCAGGTACTCAGTGGTAAATAGCAAAGCCACATGCAGGGTGTGCCCACCTAGAAATTATAGTCCAGTGGGGACACAAAGGTGATTGCAATGCAGTGTGATAAGTCCTGTGATAAGGGAAGAAGAGGGCACCATTCGAGTACAGAGCAGGGGCTCCTGATCAAGACTTAGGAAGTCAGGGAAGGCTTCCTGGAAGAAGTGCTATTTAATTGAGACCCTAAGCAGAATTTCAGCAGGCTATTTAAGAAGAGAATAAGCATGTTCCAGGCAGAGGTGCCGCAGCCCAAAGGAAAAAGGAATCAAGCAGAATTTTATTTTTGTATACACAAATTTTGGATCTTGCTGTTTTCCACTTACATATTTTACCCTGAGTCTCCACGTCTTTAACTATTTTTGCTGACCTAATAGTTCATTGTGAGAATAGTGACTAGTTTACTTACTCACTTTCAAAGGGAAATGGAATTTTTAAAGCTCATGCTAATTGCTCTCCTCTTATCAATATAAAATTATGTGAAATAATTATTCACTGCTCATATGAATATTCACAAAATCTCCTTTATTAAGCTGTCTCTTGAGAACAATTTTTGCAACACAACCTGATATCCAGCTGTAGCAAATACTTAATTCATGGAAGATACTGATTTATTAAATAGTGTTTAAATTCAACTTTTTACTACAATTGTTTTGCATGGCTTGGCAGGGCCCTAAGAGGGGTTCTGGATCTTGGGGCTTTGAAATTCTTGTCCTGCTGCTTGGATGACCCCCTCTGTGTCATTCATTCTCAGTGTCCCCCAAAGTCTGCGTGTCTCAGCTCCCGCCAGCCCCCACCAACCCCTCAATCCCAGGCTCCCCTGTCTCTGGAATGTTCAGCTGACATTTATCTCAATCTTCTCTCCAGTAAATATTTTTTTTTCTGTCTGTGGCCTAGTTTCCTGAAGCTGCAAACATCAGCTTCTTAAATGATATTTTAAAAACCATATTTGGGATAAATATGTAGATATGATATATTTGACCAATTGCTTACATAGCAAATTGATTTTCTAGGTCAGGCAGGGGAGACTTTCACAAAATATCTTACAGGAAGTAAGATGATTTAGATGGAGTATCCAATCACCTTCTTTTGAACGGTTTCAGATCTGATTTATGTTGTTCTTTGTTCTGCCTACCTTTAGCGTGGAGCTTCCTCAAATTTCCGTACTCCTCATATTAACCTACTTTACAACAAGGATTTTGGTTTGTCTGTTTTTGTTTCTTGACTGTTGCATTTATTGTCTTGGTATCCACTTATGCTCTTTTAGTGAGGCATATTTTGGAGAGAAACAACTCCCAGGTTCCACAGCTGTGGGGGTCCAAAACCCCATATTCAGTGAAAGATTTCCTGGCTCTCCCATCTCTAACATTGCTATGTGACTCATCATGAGTTTGAGAGTTTTTTAAACCTCAGGGCATTCAAATGACAAAGTTCTCAAATCTACTTATTCCACATACGTGAAGTCACTTTCATCTTGGACCACAAGTATCTCCGTATTAAAAATGAGAAGGTTCAAAGCTCCCTGACAGCGACCGCCGCCTGGCACATGCCCTGGCCTCAGACCTGCACAGTCCGATTCTCAGTCCCATCAGGTGGCTCCCAACTACTGCCTGGCCACGTCCACTTACTTTGCAAAGCAAATTTAACAAGTGGCAGCTAGTTTCTTGAAATGAAAATTTTGCTTGCCACGTTCATAGTCTCAGCTAAGGAGACGTCCGTGTATCTTTATTAACAGGCACTGAAGAACTGTGCGTAATTTAAAATGCCGCCCCTGCCTATCAGCTGATGGCAGCCTCAGGAAGGTGGGCCTGGGAGATAACGGTGTGCAGGCTGAGGCCCGGGAAGGACACCTTCATTCGTCCTTGGCGGTTTTCTTGCACTGACTTCGAGAGGCAGCTCGTGATCTCCAAGATGTATGAAAAAATAATCATTGTATTACTATTGTCAGGTAAGTGATGTTTCCTGGCTTGATGCTGGTATATTGGATATGCGATCATAGATTAAAATATGAACCCCCTCATTTTAGTTTTATGTTATGTAAATGAATAAATAAAATGAGTAATATCTCAGATTCGAGTCTGGAGGATGGATTTTTTTGGGACTTAGCTAGCAATGTGGGAGAAATGTCACAGGGAGCCTAGTAATTGTGGCTGAATCACAGTTTTTCAGTATGGGAGGCTTACTTCCATTCTTGCCTAGCTGAAATTAAAAGAATTTTATCAAATGTTATGAGAAATATCTTTGTATGAAAAAATTTGTTGCATTGTTTGAACTATAAAGAGGTTAATTTCTTTTTTCTTTTCTTTTTTTTTTGGTCCTCAGTTTTCAAAAACTATAATTTCCTCCTTCTCGTGCCAAACAGGGACCAGCCACCAGCATGAACTCTGAAACATGGGGACTTGTTTCCCTCTCTGGGTTCGTTATTGAGGTGGTATGTAGGGGAAACAAAACAAAACAAAAAACACCTCTTATGCAAATAGGTGTTGGTGTAAATTTTGGGAGAAATCTAAATCAATTCATTAAAATAAAGAAACAACATGGGGTTATTATTAAATTGTACTTAATTAACATTATTTTTGGCCTCTTTCTGAGAATGTTATAGCTAACATCCTCTCAAATGCAGTGCTTATGTATTAGAAATGCTAGTGTCCGGCACAGAGATCAAAAGCAGGCAGTTACTTAAAAATGTACTGAGCCCATCAGACATTGCTGATAGCCAAGTTAGAGCAAGTGTCAAGGATCTACTGAGCATTCTGTAGGATATAAGGAAGACTTCCAGGATGTTCTAAGATACCCTAGGGGATAAAGCAGTGGAATGGTTAAGAGCACAGGCATGAGGAACAGAACTGGGTCCAAATCCGGCTCCACGTACGAAAGGCTCAAGAACATTAAAGCAAGTTACTTGCTCTCTCTTTGTCTTAACGTCCTCATCTGTAAAAGGCAGACAGTGTCGGTACCTGCCTCACACTAACAGCTTAAGGACTAAACAAAGTATTTAATGGCATGTGCTTACTCTGGTGCCCAACACAAAGGTAAAATATTACGTTTACTATGTATGAGCTATAATGATTACCATCATTAATAAGTATTAATAAGTATTATTAAAATAAGTAGCAGCTATGATAATGATTATAGACTAAGGAACATGTGACTGTGGATTTCTAAAAAGTCAGAGAAAAAAAGGAAAATTACAGGAAAACAGAAGACTAACAAAGCTGCTCTAATATTGTTTTAAGTAGGAAAGTATGAAAACATTTAGTTTGAAGAAAAGAAAACGAATGGAAAGGATGCAGTGTAACATTAAAATATATTCGAATATTTGCAGAGCTATTACACAGATGAGAAAAAAGGTATTCTCCATGTTGCTCCCAAGGGCAAACTGGGGACTCCTCAATCAAAATGGGACATCGCACACCCTGTTTGGGGGTGTGGGGCGGTGGTGGACGATATTTGGAATAACTTTGTACAACTTACAGATGCCGAAACTTTGGAAAATTTTTCTGGAACATAAATAAATTCTTTCTTTCTGCAGCTACTCAAGCAGATGGTAGATTGAAGCCTTAAATGGCACTTGAGGAAAAGGCCACTGGGGCCAGATGACTCCAAAGGCTACAGTGGCCTTCAGCGCCCAAGCTTCTATCATCTTTGTAGCTTTAGAAGCCCTCCAGGGAAACCCTCTTGATGCAGCTACTTTATAGTATGATAGAAAGGTTTAAGAGCAGGTTTTTCCCCTGCTTTGCTCATTAACCGAAGAAGTGAAAGTGCAAAGTGAGAAGAAGGTTAGACATCTTTGACTACGGGTGAAAAAATGATCATTTTGATTTCTCCAGTAGTCTTAACAATAAAGGCAATATTTTTTAATTCTAAATTTATCAGAGGTTCATCCTCCAATGAGAATCAGTTCTTTTCTAAAATGACTTGATTCCCAGTCCTGGAATTCCTTCGCTCGGTAATTACATGGCAGGTGCTGAACCAGGCCCTGTGGCCGCAGTAAGTCAGAAAAGCTCCCGGGCAGGTTCCATGCAGGGTGGACGGGCTTGGATGGTGGGAAGACACACAGATCATAAACAGAACAACAAGTCAATTATTAAAATAAGAATAGACAGTTAAAAATAATCCAAAGAAAATAAAACCAGGTAAGGTGGTAGACATGAATGCAGAGGCTGCTTTAGAAAAGCATAGTAGGATATTTTTTCCTGAGTCAGTGACATTTATGGTAAGAGTTGAAAAATGACAAGGAGCCATTCCTGAAAAGGATGGCAGGGGGAAGAAAGAGCAAGAGTGAAAGTTCTGAGACAGGAGCAAATTCAGTGTGTTCAAGGAAAACGCTAAAGCGTCGATTGAAAATCTGATTCTGAAGCTAAGAAACAATTGGAATATACAGTATTCTGTCACTTTGGCTAGGACATGATGACATAAACCAGGACTCTCTAAGAAAACAATGTAAAAATTTTCTGTTGTCACTTAAAAATTCATACCAAATTTGAATTACAGGTCATAATATACTAGTTTAATCAGAAAATCCAAGGGGACTGTTATTACCACGGCTGCTTTATTCCTCAGTGTAGCCCCAGAATCTGGCACAGTTCCTAATGAGCAGAAGGATATTGGTTGGATAAGCAAAGAAGGAAGTGAAGGGAGGGAGAAGGAGAGACAGAGAGGGAAAAGAAGGAAGAAAGGAAAGAAAAAAGAAAAGGAGGGAGGGAGGGAGGGAAGGAAAAAGGAGGAAGGAAATATTTTTTTCATCTGTTTATGCAAAACGAGTGCTCCGTGTAGATAGACCATGATTACCCTGTGCATCTTACCCGTGTGCTTGCAGGTACACCAGTCTGAAAAGCACATGTTTAGAATGACTAAGTAAAGAAGCAAGGAATCCCTTTTTCTTTCAGAGATCCAAGAAGAGAGCCTTTCTCACTGTCCATCAAATGTTACAAGAAAGAGTTACAGGAACTGTGTGTCAGGGACCACATGACTTTAAACTCTTTAAAAGCAAAACTCGTGCCCTCACATATGTGTCCCACAAACTGCCAGGCACATAGGAGGCACTCGGTAACAACTATTAGTTTCAGAAATGACAAATAACCAGAATTTTGTGGCAGATTAGTTTTCATCATGGAATACCCAATGAACCCCTGTGGGCCTCAGTGCCCTCATGCCTATTAAATATAGCACCAAGGAGACGGTATATAAAATCTTTTCTGTTTCTAAACTTCAATGAATCCCCAAAGTTCAGCCTGAGATGAGCTGTAGACTTGTTGCCAAACCTATAAATATCTTTAGCTTGGTGTGAGATTGGGTTTTTAGAAAGAAATGGATGCCCCACTGTGAACTCCTTTGGAGAACGAGTCCTAAGACAGAGGAAAGAAGGAACAGCATCTCAAAATTGATTGTTAGTAATTTTAAATTGGGAAACTGAGCTTAATATTCTCAGGATGAATTTCGTTTTACTTTGGTTTCTAGATTATTGAAAACATCTATGAACCTATTTGGGAAGTACATTTTAAAGCATTTTCCCAACTTGTCTTTACAGGTTATATTTCTATAACAACAAGTGATGTTTCTACAACAGCAAACTCATCAAGTCCTGCCTATAACCAAACCACCCCAGAAAATGAACTTGCAGTATCAGGTGGGACCTATATTTTTACATAATAGATTTACAGCTATTATTATTATATCCACATCTTTAGTAAGCACTTGTCTGTGAAATTTTCTGTGATAAATGAACTAAACTAAAACCAAATCAAAAATATCAAAAAGAAACATCCCAGGGTTATTTCTGGATTTGGGGATTGTGAGTAAATATTTTTCTGGTTTTTAATACATTTTAAATATTCTGAAAAAAGAATTATACTATATAATTAGAACAAGTTTAAAATGTTTTACAAAGTAAACTGAGGAAACACAATCTCTGCTTTCTAAGAGGTCTTTAATTTTTGTACTGTGGGTCACAGATTGTGATCTATATTATTTCTTCTTTGGGATATTTATTAAAAATTTCTTTGTAACCCAAATTATTATATATAAGCACTGGAAAAAAGATGTCATCTTTGTTTATAGTGTACAAATTTCTATAAATAGCTACTTAATCAATTTTGGTATTTCTATCTCTAAATTTATATATAATACAATTCATTAGGTTCTGTATATAGTTAGGTTCTGAATATAGTTAGGTTCTGAATAATAATATCCAACACTGATACAGCACTTATTTTGTGCCAGGCACTGCTGTAAGTAATTCACTTACATTTAATTGTTTTAGTAGTACAATATACATAACATAAAATTTGCCATTTTATCTATTTTAGTGTACAATTTGATAGCATTTAATACATTCAAAATGTTGTTCACCCATCTCCATTATCTAGTTGCAGAACATTTTCATCACTCCAAAAGGAGACCCCCCATTCCTGTTTGCAGTCACTCCCAATTCCCTCACTTCCCCCAGCCCCTGGAAACCACTAATTGGCTTTCTACCAGTATGGATTTACCTATTTGGAATATTTCATATAGATAGAATCATACAATAGGTAGGCTTTTGTATACAGCTTATTTCACTTGAGATCATGTGTTTAAGGTTCATCCATATTGTAGCATGTATCAGTACTTCATTCTTTTTTATGGCTGAATATCATTCCATTGTATTGATACATCACATTTTGCTTATTCATTGATCATCCGATGAAAATTTGGGTTGTTTCTGTCTTTTGGCTGTTGTGAATAGCGTTGCCATGAATATTCCCGTAATAGTTTTGTTTGAACCCATATTCAGTGTTCATAGGTATATACCCAAGAGTAGAAGAGCTCGTAACTTGCTGAGAAACTGCTAAACTGTTTTCCACGGCAGCTGTGTGTAGGAGGGTTTCAATTTCTCCATATCCTTGCCAGCACTCGTAATTTTCCATTTTTTACATTATAGTCATTCCAGAGGGTATCATATGGTTTTTCATTGTTGCATTTTTCTAGCGACTAATGATGTAGTTGTTGGTTATTTGTAGTTTGCATATTTTCTTTCAAGTCCTTTGCCTATTTAAAAAAAAATTTTTTTTGGATTTTTGTTGCTGAGTTGTAAGAGTTCTTTTTGTGTTCTTGGTATAGACTCTTATCAGATAGACTATTTGCAAATATTTCTTCCCATTTTATGGATTTTTTTCCTTTTGATAGTGTCCTTTGATTCATTGATGTTTTTAATTTTAAAGTCCAATTTATCAATTTCTTTCTTCTGTTGCTTCTGATTTTGATGTCATATCCAAAAAATCATTGCCAAATTCAAGGTCATGCAGATTTATCACTATATTTTCTTCCAAGAGTTTTATGGTTTTTGCTCTTATATTTAGATCTTTGGTCTATTCTGAGTTAATTTCTCTATAGGGCAACAGTTCACCTTCATTATTTTACATGTGGATGTTCAGTTGTCCCAGTACCATTTATTGAAGAGACTATTCTTTTCCCATTAAATAGTCTTGATGCTCTTCTTGAAAATCAATTGACCACAAATATATGGGTTTATTTTGGGAACCTCAATTCTTTTCCATTGACCCATATGTCTATCTTTAGGGCCAAATCACAGCAATTTTGATTACTATTATTTTGTTGTAAGTTTTGAAATCATGAAGTATGAGTTATCCAACTTCATTCTTCTTTTTCAAGATTGTTTTGGCTAATTAGATCCCTAACAATTTCATACAAATTTTAGGATCAGCTTTTTCGTTTCTGCAAAAAAATTATACATATTTTTAATTTACTTGATCCAGTAAGTAACTCTATATGGTAGAACCTGTTATCCCATTTTACAATGGTGAAACAAAAATACAGAAAGATTAAGTAAATTTTACAAGATTTCAGATAGTCGCTAGTGGGATTAGTTTGAACCCAGGCAGTTTCACTCTAAAATATGTGCACGTTAGTGGAAATATTATATTACCTTTGTCATACACAGTGATGTTCCAGGGTTGGCTCTTCCTTACTCTTGTGACATTGTCACTCACTGTTCAGCTTGTGCTTTCACCAAGGTAAAGCCTTTAATGAAAGTTGATGCTCTGTCTTCCTCTTTTGGTGCAGCTAAATAACTCCAGCTGCGTGACTATTAATTAGTCTTTTACTCCTTTTTTTATATGGACTAGATAATTTATTAAAGCTGGAAGCCTCCATTTGATGTGACTACTTATTTCCCAGTAATGATTATATTTAAAAGATCAAAATAAAAGAAAATAAGTACAAAGCACAAAGCATGAATAGTATAGCTATTTGAGGCAACTAAGAAGATGGATCATGGCAGTGAAGTTGCATCTTGCTAGGAGAAATATCACAAAAATTTGCCTCTTGACACCTTTCCTGAACAATTCTGTCAAGTACAGATCTCAAAAACATTTTGTCAGGCGATACAGCAATGTCCTTTTAAAATGAGTGTATGGGAATGGAAGAACACATAATAAAATCTATCTTCATCAATTTGTTAGCAAAAAAGAAGTATAAATGAATAGCTTGTGATTGCTAGGTGGACATATTTCATATCTTTTCACTGTTTGTTTTTTGCTTCCTTGATCTGTCATAATAGGAGAAAACTTAAAATTTCTCACTGCTAATGTATTTCTGCCAATTTCATCATTTGTTTTATATTTCTTGTTGCTATATTATTTTGGGCTATAATGGTCCACAATTTCCTAATAATCATTGTGAAATATATCATTCAACAATATAAGTTAATCCTCCTCATTTTTGCAATGGCTTTGTCTTTAATTCTACTTTGTCTAATATTAATATTATGATTTCTGTTTAGTTTTATATGTATTTTTGTCTTATATACCCTTGCCCATTTATTTTTTACACATTTTATATTCTTTTATTTTGTGTTTCCTTTGATGTAGTATACATTTGTTGGGATCTTATTTAACCTATCTGTTTTGACTCGATCCAAAAGTCTTTGCCTTTTAATACAGAAATTTAATCCATATACCTTGATGAACTCACAGCTGACATTTTGTTATCTTATTTCTGTTATCATCTATATTTTTATTGTATGATTCCTTGCTTCTGACCTTTTGATACATACTGTTTTATTCGTCCTTAACCTCTTGTGTATTTTCAAAGGTATAGAGCCTACTTGTAATTACCCAATTGGCTAACTTTATTTTTTTTAAAGCATTCTCTCTCAGAACTCCCAAGCCATTTTAATGACACAGCACACATAGATACACCCACTGCATTGATGAACCTATATGAGCTGGATGAAGTTGTACTACAGGAACCAACTGGCCAATGGCTTGTGAGCACCTTGAATGGATTTCAGGTGTGTCTGAGCTACTGATTCCTTCAAACCCTCTGGCAGCTGGGTGTTCTGATCGGGTATAGCCAGGTGCATCAATCTCAAAACAAAATCATACATGTATTGGGACATAGGGAACGTATACTACAACTCATTGCACACAGACACATGTCTGAGACAAAATTCCACAAAATATTACCCGCCCTTACCATGTGTAATGTACTTTGATATAGTCTCATCTATTTTATACAACTTCATTGTTTAATGTCAGCAACAACCCAGTGCACTGATGTCATGGCCCATTACTGCAGGAATGCATTATCTTGACTGCATGTTATACCCATCTGAGCAGATCTAAAAAGTAATGATGATTGGGCTCCACATCCAGAGATTCTTATTATACTAATACAGGTACCAGCAGACTACAGCCTGTGGGCCAAATCTAGCCCCCCACCTGGTTTTGCACAGCCTGAAAATTAAGAATGGTCTATGCATCTTTAAGTGCTTTAAAAAATCAAAAGAAGAATAATATTTTGTGACATGTGAATATTATATGAAACTCAAATTCTACTGTCCACAAATCATTATTGTAACATGGCCTGGCCATATTCATTTATTTACGCTTCGGCTAACATATCATCTATGGCTGCTTTTGTACAACCACAGGTTCAATTACTGTAATAGAAAAAGTGTGACCCACAAAGCCAAACATATTTATTCTCTACTCCTTTACAGAAAAAGTTTACTAGTCCTTGTGCTAAGGGATCCCAACCTACAATTTGAAACCCTTAGTTTTAGACTGAGGATATCCACATTATGTTTCCTCGGAGTTTTCGAAGTTGCTCCCAGGTGGCAGTGGGCTCAGGAGGTGAGGACCCAGGCCTGTAACCCAGGCTGGCTTCCACTGAGCAATTTAACTTTGTCTGTTCCACACAATCACAAGCTTATCCTTGGAAAGTGCTCAGATCAAAACCAAATGTGTTTGGTGGTGGTGGGTGGGAGGGGGGATTGTGGTTCTAAAACAAAACCGAAAGAATACACCAACATTTGAGATGGCAAATGATGTTACTTCTCAAGCAATTCCAGCGAGTATCATTTAGCCATGGTTTTCTGAAGACGTTCAAGTTCTAGATAAATGAAACATCAGAACCTTAGAAAACATAAGGATGGATCTTAAAGCCCAGGAAAATGAACTTTACACACATTAATCTCGTCTACAAAGTTGCTCTTCCTGCTGGCAGGACATCAAAATACAATGCCTGGATTACCACAGATGATTCTAACACACAGTCAAGAGTGAGAACTACCCATCCAGTTCATCGCTGCAATTTGTCATTGTTCAACCAGTGACAGGAAGTTTTCAT